GATATGGCTTGACAAGAGTGACACACTTGTTCATACACATGCAAGTTCACAGACACTTGTTCATACACGCATGTTCACACTCACATAGACAAAAACTCCGTGTAACCTACACAGACTGTTGGGGCAAGTGCGTTAAGTTAGCACCAATGAAGGCCGGCACGGCACACGAGGGCTGGGTGGCCAGCACCACGCCCGACCGCCTTCGTCTCCCCGGTGGCGATGTTTACACATCGCTCTAGGTACTCATTTAAGGCTAAATCGACCTAAGGGAGGCCCAGGACCGGTTCAGATAATCGTCATTGGTGTTTGCTTTGAGTGGGATTCGATCTTGGCTCGCCGGGTTCGTACACAAACTCACACACACACACTGGTTAATACAGTACCAGCGTATGTGCTCACCTGTGTATGTGTGTGTAAAGCAGTGTGCTCACCTGTGTGAGTGTGTAAAGCAGTGTGCTCGCCTGTGTGTGTGTAAAGCAGTGTGCTCACCTGTGAGTGTGTGTAAAGCAGTGTGCTCACCTGTGTGAGTGTGTAAAGCAGTGTGCTCACCTGTGTGTGTGTGTAAAGCAGTGTGCTCACCTGTGTGTGTGTGTAAAGCAGTGTGCTCACCTGTGTGAGTGTGTAAAGCAGTGTGCTCACCTGTGTGTGTGTGTAAAGCAGTGTGCTCACCTGTGTGAGTGTGTAAAGCAGTGTGCTCACCTGTGTGTGTGTGTAAAGCAGTGTGCTCACCTGTGTGTGTGTGTAAAGCAGTGTGCTCACCTGTGTGTGTGTAAAGCAGTGTGCTCACCTGTGTGTGTGTGTAAAGCAGTGTGCTCACCTGTGTGTGTGTGTAAAGCAGTGTGCTCACCTGTGTGAGTGTGTAAAGCAGTGTGCTCACCTGTGTGTGTGTGTAAAGCAGTGTGCTCACCTGTGTGAGTGTGTAAAGCAGTGTGCTCACCTGTGTGTGTGTGTAAAGCAGTGTGCTCACCTGTGTGAGTGTGTAAAGCAGTGTGCTCACCTGTGTGAGTGTGTAAAGCAGTGTGCTCGCCTGTGTGTGTGTGTAAAGTAGTGTGCTCACCTGTGTGAGTGTGTAAAGCAATGTGCTCACCTGTGTGTGTGTGTGTGTGTAAAGCAGTGTCCTCACCTGTGTGAATGTGTAATGCAGTGTGCTCACCTGTGTGAGTGTGTAAAGCAGTGTGCTCACCTGTGTGAGTGTGTAAAGAAGTGTGCTCACCTGTGTGAGTGTGTAAAGCAGTGTGCTCACCTGTGTGTGTGTAAAGCAGTGTGCTCACCTGTGTGAGTGTGTAAAGCAGTGTGCTCACCTGTGTGTGTGTGTAAAGCAGTGTGCTCACCTGTGTGTGTGTGTGTGTAAAGCAGTGTGCTCACCTGTGTGAGTGTGTAAAGCAGTGTGCTCACCTGTGTGTGTGTGTAAAGCAGTGTGCTCACCTGTGTGAGTGTGTAAAGCAGTGTGCTCACCTGTGTGAGTGTGTAAAGCAGTGTGCTCACCTGTGTGAGTGTGTAAAGCAGTGTGCTCACCTGTGTGAGTGTGTAAAGCAGTGTGCTCACCTGTGTGTGTGTGTAAAGCAGTGTGCTCACCTGTGTTAGTGTGTAAAGCAGTGTGCTCACCTGTGTGAGTGTGTAAAGCAGTGTGCTCACCTGTGTGTGTGTAAAGCAGTGTGCTCACCTGTGTGTGAGTGTGTAAAGCAGTGTGCTCACCTGTGTGTGTGTGTAAAGCAGTGTGCTCACCTGTGTGAGTGTGTAAAGCAGTGTGCTCACCTGTGTGAGTGTGTAAAGCAGTGTGCTCACCTGTGTGAGTGTGTAAAGCAGTGTGCTCACCTGTGTGAGTGTGTAAAGCAGTGTGCTCACCTGTGTGTGTGTGTAAAGCAGTGTGCTCACCTGTGTGAGTGTGTAAAGCAGTGTGCTCACCTGTGTGAGTGTGTAAAGCAGTGTGCTCACCTGTGTGAGTGTGTAAAGCAGTGTGCTCACCTGTGTGAGTGTGTAAAGCAGTGTGCTCACCTGTGTGTGTGTGTGTAAAGCAGTGTGCTCACCTGTGTTAGTGTGTAAAGCAGTGTGCTCACCTGTGTGAGTGTGTAAAGCAGTGTGCTCACCTGTGTGTGTGTAAAGCAGTGTGCTCACCTGTGTGTGAGTGTGTAAAGCAGTGTGCTCACCTGTGTGTGTGTGTAAAGCAGTGTGCTCACCTGTGTGAGTGTGTAAAGCAGTGTGCTCAACTGTGTGAGTGTGTAAAGCAGTGTGCTCACCTGTGTGAGTGTGTAAAGCAGTGTGCTCACCTGCGTGTGTGATTAAAGCAGTGTGCTCACCTGTGAATGTGTGTAAAGCAGTGTGCTCACCTGTGTGAGTGTGTAAAGCAGTGTGCTCACCTGTGTGTGTGTAAAGCAGTGTGCTCACCTGTGTGTGAGTGTGTAAAGCAGTGTGCTCACCTGTGTGTGTGTGTAAAGCAGTGTGCTCACCTGTGTGAGTGTGTAAAGCAGTGTGCTCACCTGTGTGTGTGTGTAAAGCAGTGTGCTCACCTGTGTGTGTGTGTGTGTAAAGCAGTGTGCTCACCTGTGTGAGTGTGTAAAGCAGTGTGCTCACCTGTGTGAGTGTGTAAAGCAGTGTGCTCACCTGTGTGAGTGTGTAAAGCAGTGTGCTCACCTGTGTGAGTGTGTAAAGCAGTGTGCTCACCTGTGTGTGTGTGTAAAGCAGTGTGCTCACCTGTGTGAGTGTGTAAAGCAGTGTGCTCACCTGTGTGTGTGTGTAAAGCAGTGTGCTCACCTGTGTGTGTGTGTGTGTAAAGCAGTGTGCTCACCTGTGTGAGTGTGTAAAGCAGTGTGCTCACCTGTGTGAGTGTGTAAAGCAGTGTGCTCACCTGTGTGAGTGTGTAAAGCAGTGTGCTCACCTGTGTGAGTGTGTAAAGCAGTGTGCTCACCTGTGTGAGTGTGTAAAGCAGTGTGCTCACCTGTGTGTGTGTGTAAAGCAGTGTGCTCACCTGTGTGTGTGTAAAGCAGTGTGCTCACCTGTGTGTGTGTGTGTGTAAAGCAGTGTGCTCACCAGCGTGAGTGTGTAAAGCAGTGTGCTCACCTGTGTGAGTGTGTAAAGAAGTGTGCTCACCTGTGTGAGTGTGTAAAGCAGTGTGCTCACCTGTGTGTGTTTATCGGTGTGCACCGTGTTCACCGGCGTTTGATTATGTCAACTAATGGGTGTGTTAATCATTGTGAGTACTCGTGTGTGTGTACAGTAGTGTTACCCAGTATTTAATTGCGTCAGCTAATGACCGTGTTATAATCAGTGTGTGTGTGCACGTCTGAGTGTGTTTTATTTAAACTGTGTCAAGTTAATCTCCCTCACACCCCTCCCTGTGTGTACACTCGCAGTCGTAAACAGCATTGCAGTTATAAAGTACACATTCACATTTGCGCATATACCAGTATACACACGCTACTTTACACACACTCACTCTACTCTGCATAGTAACTCCAGAGTACACTCATTTACACTCACAATATCGAGTGTGCACACACACACGAGGACACACTCCCCCCTTACATGTACACACAGGAGTGTATCCACACACACGCCTGTGTACACACACTACTAGCATACTCACATTAGCACACACACACACTGTGTGTACACACTCCGCTGATGGCTTAAGTTTACTACTGACTACAGTTGTTGCCTTCAGAGAACGCTCTACACACACAGAGTCAACACACACTACTGTACACACAATCTAGCTCTCAAACTCGCCAACACTCTCACTGTGTACACACACACACTCACTGTGTACACTCACACACTCACTGTGTACACACTCTCATACACTGTGTACACACTCTCACTGTGTACACACACTCACTGTGTACACACACTCACTGTGTACACACACTCACTGTGTACACACACTCACTGTGTACACACACTCCCACACTCACTGTGTACACACACTCCCACACTCACTGTGTACACACTCTCACACTCACTGTGTAGACACTCTCACACTCACTGTGTACACACTCACTGTGTACACACTCACTGTGTACACACTCACTGTGTACACACTCACTGTGTACACACTCACTGTGTACACACTCACTGTGTACACAGTGTACACACTCATACACACTGTGTACACACTCATACACACTGTGTACACACTCATACACACTGTGTACACACACTCACTGTGTACTCACACTCACTGTGTACTCACACTCACTGTGTACACACTCACACTCACTGTGTACATACACACACTGTGTACACACTCACACTCACTGTGTACATACACACACTGTGTACACACTCACACTCACTGTGTACATACACACACTGTGTACACACTCATACACACTGTGTACACTCACACTCCCTGTGTACACTCACACTCCCTGTGTACACTCACACTCCCTGTGTACACTCACACACACTGTGTACACTCACACACACTGTGTACACACTCACCGTGTACACTCACACACACTGTGTACACTCACACACAGTGTACACTCACACACACTGTGTACACACTCACTGTGTACACTCACACTCACTGTGTACACACTCACCGTGTACACTCACACACACTGTGTACACACACACACACACTGTGTACACACTCACACTCACTGTGTACACTCACTGTGTACACACTCACACTCACTGTGTACACTCACACACACTGTGTACACTCACACACACTGTGTACACTCACTCTCACTGTGTACACACTCACACTCACTGTGTACACTCACACTCACTGTGTACACTCACACTCACTGTGTACACTCACACACACTGTGTACACTCACACTCACTGTGTACACTCACTGTGTACACACTCACACTCACTGTGTACACTCACACACACTGTGTACACTCACACACACTGTGTACACTCACACTCACTGTGTACACACTCACACTCACTGTGTACACTCACACTCACTGTGTACACTCACACACACTGTGTACACTCACACTCACTGTGTACACTCACACACACTGTGTACACTCACACTCACCTTCTCTGGCCCCGCTCCCCGCCGACCACAGCGCGAGTCCCAGCAGCAGCAGCAGCGCTCCTCTCCTCGTGTCCCTCCTCATGCTCTCAGCATGACCTCCTCTCCCTCCTCCTCGTGTCCCCCTCTCAGTCTCCTCGTCTCTCTCAGTCTCCTCGTCTCTCTCAGTCTCCTCGTCTCTCTCAGTCTCCTCGTCTTCGTCTCTCTCAGTCTCCTCGTCTCTCTCAGTCTCCTCGTCTTCGTCTCTCTCAGTCTCCTCGTCTCTCAGTCTCCTCGTCTCTCTCAGTCTCCTCGTCTCTCTCAGTCTCTTCGTCTCTCAGTCTCCTCGTCTCTCTCAGTCTCCTCGTCTCTCTCAGTCTCCTCGTCTCTCTCAGTCTCCTCGTCTTCGTCTCTCTCAGTCTCCTCGTCTCTCTCAGTCTCCTCGTCTCTCTCAGTCTCCTCGTCTTCGTCTCTCTCAGTCTCCTCGTCTCTCAGTCTCCTCGTCTCTCTCAGTCTCCTCGTCTCTCTCAGTCTCTTCGTCTCTCAGTCTCCTCGTCTCTCTCAGTCTCCTCGTCTCTCTCAGTCTCTTCGTCTCTCAGTCTCCTCGTCTCTCTCAGTCTCCTCGTCTTCGTCTCTCTCAGTCTCTTCGTCTCTCAGTCTCCTCGTCTCTCTCAGTCTCCTCGTCTCTCTCAGTCTCTTCGTCTCTCAGTCTCCTCGTCTCTCTCAGTCTCCTCGTCTTCGTCTCTCTGCTCTCACTCCTCTCTCCACTCAGCCGGACTCTCGACAACTTTGCTGTCTGCGAGGAGAGGGAGGGGTGGGGGCACAGGGCGTGGGCTCTCCCCTAGCCCCGCCCCCCCCACTAACTCCGCCCGTAAAAGTGCAAAGCCCCGCCCACTGCAGGACTGACCCCGCCCACGATTTTTTTTTGCTGAAATGGAAGCCATTTCCCACCTGATGATGATTGCTTGTGTTGCAATCGATACGTCGTGATTTTATTTATTTTCTACCGACGTGACTTTACCGAAAGAACCAAAGAGTATAGATCCCTGCAGTCACGAAAACTTCAAATCTAGACATTCGTCACTAACACCGTGGCCTAATAAGGAAACAGAGGATATGAATAGATAACGTTTCGGGCAGCGCCCCTTATTCACAGCACAAATGCAGCGAGGCCAGAGAGACAGAGTTGATAATAAGAGTTGGACATTGCATTTTACATCATGAGGCCTGAAGAGAATTAAAATTTAAAAAATCCTGGTGAACAAATTTAAAAGGCACATCTACTCATAGTTACCTATTAATAGTTCCCTATTAATAGCTATTGAGTAACAGAAGCCCATCATTAAAAGTAAAACATTAAAAATATATTTTTAGAAACTTAAGTCAATGTATACATTATTTACCGAACCGCAATTATGACTGCTTCAATACCGGCCTCATGTTGCCTCGCCATAGTAACGTGGAATGTTCACCGCTCTGCGTGAGCTCAATGCTCAACAGTGACCTTTGCATTTTAGTGTGAATATGCTCACCATCATCATCAACCATAGTCGATCCGCTGCTGGATGAAGGCCTCTCCAAGCCACCGCCACAGCTCACGATCCTACCACGATAATCCATCCAGCACCTGCACTTGAGCTGATTCCATCACTCCGTCTCCTCACTGGAGGGGCCTCTCTGGCGTCCTGCCCCGTTCGCTGCCACAGGTTGTTCTGGGAATCGCCACATCGTCTATGGATGCCCCCATAATTTTTAATGGGGACACTCACAAGTTTTTATTTATTTATGGTAAATTGTACTTTAAAACTATGACGAGGTCAAGGCACCCTACCTTGAATAATTGAATGAGGCATTTGACAACATTATTAGTACCACCAATTTGTCTTGATTAGTATTTGTTACAAATAGCCACCAATTTAGGGATGTGGTCGTATCTGCAATTGGCATTTCCATCCATGAAAAAACTCAACCTCTCAAACATTGGCAAAGGCACCACCGTGTAAACTGAGACTCGCTGTGATCTGCGGTGGTGCGAGCAGCCGATTGGGGGCCCAAAGAATAAATTGTTTATAAGAGTGTGATAAGAGAATGGATGCAGGCAATATTGTGATGAGATATTGTTTTTTTAGTGTGTAAAATAGGAATTACATTTGAGGGTGGCGAGATGTTATCGCCCTTGCCTTGTATACAGGAGGTCTTGGGTTCCACCCCAACCCTGACGCCTCTTTATTTGGAGTTCTCCCCGTGGTCGCGTGGATTTTTCTCCGGATTCTCCGGTTTTCCCTCCACATTTAGAAACACGCGCTTAGGTTTATTAATTATTTGGCTATTGTAAATGTCCACATGACAAGCCACTTCTTTGAGTTATCATTTGTGGTCAGGTCGCTTTTGAAAAAGAGGTAATAGCTCAGTGGGCCTTACCTAGTAAAATAAGAATAGTTTAATATAAAGAGTTATAGTTTTATGGCGTAAACTAAGCATTTACTTGGGTTTTGCCGAGCGTAACCACTGACTGGAGATCAATTGATCCAGGGGTGTGTGTGTGTCGTGTGTGTGTCGTGTAAAGCGTGCAGCCAAAGAATACAACAAACCCAAGAATACGCTCACTGTGGAGACGGAGCAATTCAATCATCTCGTGTGCCCCTGCGAGATTCCCGTGGGGAATCGGAAATGCGAGAAATCGTGGCACACCAAAGTTAGTGAATCGCGTGGGGCGTTCTGTCCTCTCTGGCCCAGATCTTCATAAGGGAAGGCTCTTTCGCCATCTAGTGTGCAAAAACGAGTCCCGCAGCCCGCACCTTCAACAATCTCTGCTAAATCCACACCGACGCCTCATTCCACACGGCCGAACACGATTCATCCTCCAGTGATGCTGGCGTCGAGAGCTGGGACGATTAATCGATTAAGTCTTCTAAAAATCTAAACAGACGACTCTTGTTCTTTTCTTTTCAATGACACGAGCCCTCCCAGCATGGTGGCTACCTCCCACATCCAGATTTCCCGAAGGCTGGAAACTCCCTGTGCCCAGCACGACGCGGCTGATGCTGCTGATGGTACCAGTAAGCTCGGCTCATCACCTCCCGTCCAGTGGCACACGTGGAAACGGAGGTGACTCTTTTTTAAAACAACTTTCCGCTTAGTCTTGTAATCGAGCCGATAATCGGGAGCGTAATTGATTATGTGAATATTCGCATAGCCTAGCTCCATGCACAGCGCAGGAGTTCAGAAGAAATGGACTTCACTACATTATCCATTTAAATTTCGATTTAAAGCTTTCGTGACTGCAAGGATTCATCTTTTTTGGTTCTTTCAGTAAAGTCACGTGACTTTACCGAAAGAACCAAAGAAGATACATTATCGATTTTAGGCGTGTTTACTGCCCCTTTGTCAATCCACTGCTGGACGACGGCCTCCCCATGCTTTGCGAGTAACGTGGGTTATTTGGCCATACTTCACCACGCCGGTCAGTGCAGTGGAGGGAAGTTATAATTTCTCAGTTCACGTCTGTCGAGTGTTTCACATCAATGTGAGTGCAGATTTTGCCACTCCTTCGTATCATGCATACTTATGACATTTGCAATAAAGAGAAGGCGTTGACACTTATTGCCCGCATTAAAAAAAATTCCAATGCTTGTTTTATGAAATTCCCCACCCATCACTCACAGCCGATCACACCCCACGCTCAACCCAACAAGAGTATCCGATACTCGCCAGGAGCTACAAGGTACGAACCAGCAGCCTCCGAGGGTGGATCGAGCTGGATACGTGGACTCCTTGGTTGCTCCATGGTTGGTCTCACTCCATGAAACAGAACGGCTTTGGGTGCTTCTAATATCGCTGGACTCCGCAATATGTTGCTTAAATGTAGCCGTTGTGGAACATGTGGCACTTCCACTGAATCTTAGAAATCTTAAACTCGGTTTGCTTAGCTTGCAAGCAACCCACAATTCTAAAAAACCCCTATTACTACCAGGTAAGGCCCGCTGAGCTAAATAGCTATTTTTCAGAAGCGACCTGACCACAAATGACAGCTCAACAAAGTGGCTTATCACGTGGAAATTTATGAGCCAAATACTCTCATAATTGTTACGATTGGTATGACTAATATTCACATTACTCGCCTCTTCAATAGCGCATGCAATACAGTAGTAGTATATCTCACTGCGTGAGCCACGTGCAAGCGTACGCCACCCACCATTCTGTAACTGCACGATAATCCCACAACAACGGTTTCAATAAACATGGCATCGAAATGCAATCACAAGACACTTTACAAACTAATCGATTTTTAATACATTCAGGTATAAGGCTATGGGGAGCAGGGGAGGGGGGTACAGGGCAGGGAACTACGGAGGAGAGAGAGGAGAGAGCAACACGGCGACACATCCCAGGACAAAGCAATGGAGGAACAGAGCCAACAACAGCGAGACCTCGGGGCAACCAGGGCAGCACCACTGAGCCCCATGGGCATTCTTGGGTGGCCGCAGCCCTTTAACAAAACCTGCAGACACACTTGTGGGAGGCCCTTGATTAAATTAATCGACCACATGATTGCAGTTCAAATGGGGTCAAGTTAGGCGAGCCCCCTCAATGGCTCCTTTTGAGAGCCTTACCTATCACCCCGTGTTCAAGCACTCCAGGTTGTTGTGAAGGTCCGTGTGGCATGTAAAGTCCACTGGATACAAAACATTTACATTTTATTTGGGTCTTTCGGTAAAGTCACGAAGATAGGTTCAAATAAAATAACAAAAAACTACGACGTTTCGATCGCAACACATTTTCCTGATGACGACCGCTTGTGTTGCGATCGAAACGTCGTAGTTTTTTTGTAATTTACTTTGAACCTATCTACGTGACTTTACAGAACGACCCAAAGAATATTAATTGCTGCAGTCACGAAAACACTTACACTGAAGGATATTTTCCACCCGTGCAGATCGGTTTCCATGCATTCAAACTATATCTGAGATTCTACAATAAAGTACCGAAGGTTTAGACGCTATGGATGATTATAGATTAAGCTTTATGAACTACATTAGCAGTCGCCTGCTGGATGGAAGCCTCCCCATCATGCCTTGTCGGTCATGGTTCGTGCGTGTTGCTGAAGACGGGGAACATATTTCAGTACTGTACAACAATGCATGTTGCTGCACTATCCCTGCTGGTCGTC